TATATTTTAAAAATATATTTATACACCTATATATATATAAAGAGAGTTAACATAGCTATGGCATGTGCAACACTTAAACGCGCCTTGGATTGGGAGTCGCTGAATCAGCGGCCCACGAAACGTCGTCGCTGCAATCCTTTCGGACAATCTGGCAGTAATTCGCCATCGCGTAACGGCAACAGCAACAATAATGATGCAGCTAGCAGCAGCGGCAGCTCGACAACGCCCAGCAATCGCTTTGCCAAGGACAGCAATGAGCCAAGTCCATTCTCCGAGTCTGCCTTATCTAAGATGTCGCCAGGTGAGTATTTCGTTCAATATATGTATCAACTGTTCTATTATTAATATAATATTCCAACCTCTTGCAGACAAAATGGCCGAGAATTTGTGCAATGAAATCAAAAGACTGCACAAACGCAAACAATTGCCGATTACATCCAGTGCCCTAGAGCGAATGCAGGACTCGGAATCGAGCGGCTCTGAAATGGGACCGGAGAGTCCGCATCGGCCGGACAGCCCGCCGAGTCACTTGATGATGCGCCATCATGGAGAGAAGGCATTGTTCACATTCAAACAGGTGCAGCTTATATGTGAGGGCATGATCAAGGAGAGAGAGGATCAACTGCGCGAACGTTACGAATCGGTGCTGACCACCAAATTGGCTGAGCAATATGATGCGTTTGTCAAATTCACATACGATCAGATCCAGCGTCGTTACGAAGCAGCGCCCAGCTGTAAGTCGTATATACTATAAGCAAAACTATACTATAAAATTGGATATATTTTCAGATTTGTCGTAAGGCTGCCCAAATTCTCACTACGATCTTATGTGGCGGTTTTTCCAGCCGGCGCGACAGCAACAGCAAATGCTAAAAGATAAAAAAACAACATAGAAGCCCTCATTTAAAAAAAAAAAAAAAAAAAAAAAAAAAAAAAACAGTCTGTTTTGTATTCCATTTCGGCTCAGTTGAAAAACTGCATTGTGTTTATTATATATTTTGAAATATAAAAAGAGTTATAGTTTAAAACTAGATTAACATATATAAAAAAAAAAATGAAACAAAACAAAAGATTGTATTGGAACATCAACAACAAAAGGGAAGTAATACTTTAAAGCTTAAAACGCAAAACAAACAGCAAACAAAAGAAAATAACTTGTTACATTTACGTTTTCGCATAACGAGAATTCTAAATAAAAATGACAAATATCTATATAGTATGTATGAAACAAGAATAACTATAAAGTAAACACATTGCAAATGGTGCAACAAACACGTCTAAAAAAAAATATATTAAAAAAATAAACAAATTACACAATTCAATGAAACCTCAACAGTAGCTTCGTACATATATAAAGCAAAAACAAAAACTAAAAAGCAAAAAAAATATATATATGTTAGGTACATAGCAWATAAGGCATAATTGTAAAAGGTATCAAAACTATATTGTATTTCAAAATAGCAATGAGAAAAGAGATGACAAAACTAAAAAGGAGAAGAACTACTCATGAAATAACTTTTTCATAGTTTATTTTTGCATAATCATTTTCCTAAGCGAGTGAAACAGCAAACTGTATAAAAGATAACCGATAAATAAGTTTATACACAAATTCTTTGTTTTTTTTTCTTTGTTAATCTGTTTCTTCCTTTGATGTACATTTTGCAAAGTAATGAAAACGTAGACAAAAGTTTATTAAATTCGTTTGCAAACTTTAATTTACTTTAAAAATGTTAAACAACAATAAGAAAAAAGGAAAATTTATAATTTAAGTAAAACTTGAACACGCTTTCGTACATATGAATATGTACACTTGCTTGAGACGTTTCATGTTCATTATAAATATTTTTCACTTGATATACACACATGCATATATATTTTTCAATTGCCGCGATCATACATACTTTACATTAGTAATTTAAACTTAATATTAGTAAAGAAATGCCATTTTTATATTAAAATAAAAAACAGCGATGAATTGAGGAAATGAAAAGTTGGTTTTTAATTTGATTACATTTATTTTCTTTGAATGAAAAAAAGTATATTTCAAAATGTACTTTGGCGCTCATTCAAAATTAACAGCAGCGTGAAGTTGGCTGCGCACTTGTGGTACTTGGTGTGGGCTGTATTGCAACAATATATACGCGACAAAGTAAATATGAAATACAAAACGTTTATTTTTTATTTACCTAAAACTGATGAAATATTTTCAAAAGTCAATTTGCGCGCATTTTGGACTTGTTTCACAGATTGTCGATTCCACAGTCTACTTAATGTTGGCTGTGCGCAGAGTTGAGACACGTAAAGTTGGCCGCAGAAAACTGTTAACAGCATCGCTTAGCAGCGAACATGGTTATGTTAACAGTCAGTAAAGGAAAAGAAAAACAAGCAGTCGCTGGAATTTCGAGAGCAAGTAAAAATTGAACGTGTGATTTCTTAAACAATAAGTGTTTATACATAATATTATGTGTCGGTGAATATTCGAACCGGGATCAGCACCTGCCAGAGCTAACAATGCAGCACTCGCGATACCTACTAGACAAAGCTAACCAGATTTATTGAATCTCCCTTACAAAAAATACAAAATTAAAAAAAAAAAAGAATATATAAAGAGAGAGAGAGAGAGAGAGAGAGAGAGAGAGAGAGGGAAAAGAAAGCTAAACAATGTGCGATGTTGACGGTGAAATTTGTTGCGAGTCTGTGACTCAGCATGCGGTGCAAACTTCACCGGTGACTGCAAAAGTCGCAAGTGCCGAAGCCCAAACAGAAGTTCCTTTCCACGAATTGAAATACACGAATCAAAGCCTGCAGATTAAGTCGATACCTGATTGGAAGGTTGAGGAAGTGCAGCAATGGAGCTGTCTGGAGCAGTTCTCGCAAGAGATGCGCCTGTGTTTGCGTGCCGAGGAATTCGACGGTCAGGTGCTGCTTGCCCTAACGGAGGAGGATGTCCGCGACTTGCGCTACAAATTGGCCTACAAGCTGACGTTTGGCGAGATGAAGCGGTTTTGGCAAACGGTCTTCCATCTGCAATATCAGTGGCAACAGCAGCAGGATCAGCAGCTGCTGCACGAACAGCAGCTAAAGCTGCAATCGAATGGTGCACTGAGCACCACCACGTTGCCTCTGATGCTGGGCATCTCCAGCCATTTGGCGCAGTCGTCGCGTGGCAATGTTTTCATTACCGCGCCTGTTGTCGCGCCCCCGCCGGAATCCTGTCCATGCCCCTCGGTGCGCGATCGCGGCAGCAGCTTTTCCATGTCAGATACACTTCAGGGCAAAAACAAGCGTTGTGTATCGCCCGAATATTTTAAGACGGCAATCAGCTTAGGTGAGCATACGAAAGGGTGGGGCGGGGGCTAAAAGAGATGTAATGGGGGTCAATGGGGGTCTTATCGGTCAGTTGGCCAATTGGAAATAACCTTGAAATAATGACAAATCTTTATCTAATTTTATTACGATTGAGTTTACATTAGATATGCATATGTGCGTATGTGAGGGTGTGCGTACATTATCAAATTTAGCTACAGCTTTATTATGCCAGTGACGCGCGCTCTACTGTTATTTTAGTATTTGGAGGTTAAGCGTACATACATACATATGTATGTATGTAAATACATGCCTCTCCCTCCCACTTGAGTTCCCTAGCGCATGTTGTGGAATTTAATTTTTGTTTAGTTTTTGTGTAACTTTGCGTGCACGTAATTTTTAAATATTATGCTCTAACATTTGATTGTGGGCATAGAAACTTTGGCAAGCGATTCGTTAAGTTATTCTAAATTCAATTGCTAGCATATTTTCTGTTATAAAATGTTGCGTGGAATTGTTTACAGTACAATTTACAATACATATGTATGTAGGTAATTATCGTTAAAAATTCAGTTGATCTTATATTTTGATTAAAAAAACACATTTCTGTATAATTAACAGTTGGCTAAAAATTTTTACAGTGGTGTACCAATATTAGGTGCCTCGTTGATTGAACAAGGTATATTACATATATCCATATAACGGTTTACAGTAGTGTACACATATATTGTGTCCAGTTTAATTAATTCTTAACAACTGTTTTGAATTGTTTACACTACTGTGCCCAGATTAAATGACTAACTCAATTTCGAACAATTGCGCCGAATTACGTAGCTGTTTGGCTTTTCTGCTGAATTTATTTATGTTTCTTTCTATATTTTGTTTCGATTTCCTTGAATTGTTCCCACTGCTCTATCCATATTAAGTGGCTGGCTCGATTTCTTTATTATATAATTGCCTTTATTCCACTTTACATTTCCATTATAGTTGCTACATATAACAGTTTACAGTGCTTACAGTAGTGTACACATATAAAGTGTCCACTTCAGTTCTTAATATTAAATTGTTTACACCACTGTGCCCATATTAAAATTCAAATAGCTGCGTCGAACTGGATGTCTTTTCTACTGAAGTTATACTCCATTTTCCTTCTAAGCTAAACAAAGTATTATTAGTCGGATTGTTCACTGTTAAGCGGAACTCTATTTGATTTATTTATTTTGCAGGCTATTCATTTGTGGTCACATGGATAACATCGTTTGTAATGGTGATAGTGCACGAGCGTGTACCCGATATGAAGCGTTATCCCCCGCTGCCGGATATATTCCTCGACAATGTGCCCCACATACCGTGGGCGTTCAATATGTGTGAGATTACCGGCACGCTTTTATTTACAATATGGCTGTTTGTGCTGATCTTTCACAAGTATCGCATGGTTCTGCTGCGGCGTTTCTTTGCACTGGCCGGCACTGTATTCCTGCTGCGTTGCGTCACGATGCTGATTACGTCGCTAAGTGTGCCCGGCACCCATTTGCAGTGCAATCAAAAGGACTTTGCCATTGACGATCCCAATGTGGATGTCTTTGGAGCACTGGTCATACGCATGACGAGAGCCTATCGCATCTGGAGCGGCTTGGGCATGTCCATACAGGGTGTACGCACTTGTGGAGATTATATGTTTAGTGGGCATACGGTGGCCTTGACGTTGCTTAACTTCTTTATCACTGAGTGTGAGTATTGAGTATTCATTTAATCTAATCAAGAAATAATTTATATCGACTTTTCCTCTTTAGATACCCCGCGTAACCTCTACTTTCTCCACACGCTGACCTGGCTATTGAATATGTTTGGCATCTTCTTCATACTGGCTGCCCACGAGCATTATTCGATTGATGTGTTTGTTGCCTTCTATATCACTTCACGCCTATTTCTCTACTATCATACGCTGTCCAACAATCGGGTAAGTATTTTGAAATTCAGTCAATGGATTGTTCGATCTAACATAAATTTTCTAATAGGCTCTCATGCAAAGTGATTCGACGCGGACACGGATCTGGTTTCCCATGTTCAGCTATTTCGAGAACTCCGTGGATGGCATCATTCCGAATGAATTCGATACGACCAGCTCGCTTATTGACTCGCTGGTCCAACAAGTAATTCGCATTAAAGATCATATCGCTCTCATTGTCAATCGAATTTGGTTGGCCCGCACATTCTCAACATCGTCGTTTAATTTGTTTGAGAACTCCGACCACGATACACAAAATCATTTTCCGTCAAAACCAACCAGTAATTTGCAATTGCGTATCAGCTCTACGCCCATTTTGGGCAATGCATCAAAACAGCAGATGAAGCCGTCAACGGCCGATGCGAACGTTAGCCCATTTACCAGTGCGGCGAACGATCTGCGGAATCACCTGTCCGAGAAGAAGGTGCTCTGATTGCGTCTTCCAACCAACAGCAGCTGGATAATCAATTCTCTAAGCTGTTTAATGAAAGAGCAAATCGGATTGCAGAAAAACAATGCAAGCATATATATATATATACACAGATACACAGACATAAACACAAATTCACACCGACTGATAATTTGTACTCTTTAAAAATTAATTTTTACATCTTTCCAATTGCAGCAGTTCCTGTAACTGTATTATCAATATATATATGTACATATATATATATATAAATGTATATATGTATGTATATATGTGTGTACCACTAGTAGTGCCTTTTCAGGTAGTCTCAACGCTCTCCATTCTCTTTTAGGTAAATAACTTTTAGTTAACAAAACTGGATTAATGTGCAAATCAATTGCATGAAATTGCGCTATGAAATGTACCAATTGATTCATTGATCATATTCCTCATTCCGCTCACTTTAGTTTTATTATTGAAGACTATTTAATGCATTATTATGTAATTATAAGCATGTACAACATCTATAAGTTATTTAGTCATAAGTTACAAAGTTTCTGTTGAACGCACAAAATTCAATAAATCAAAATTTCAGTGATATAATTATGTAGATGTTTTTATTTTGTTGGCCAGGTATAATTTGAGTTTCGGTTATTTGGCGCGCTGCAAAACAAATTTCAATTAGCAAATACCACTGACCAGTGCAAATACTGATTTATTTGCAAATATCTGGTCACACATCACAAATGTTTTTATTAGAGATGCGTGATTCGCACATGCCAAAAGGTCACGAAATGTGGAACATGTGCTTTTTATTATTATCATTTTAATCACAAGAGTATATAGTAGTTCAAAAAACATTATACGATTTTATTTTTACATTGTAAGTAAGCTAAGAAATATATTAAATGCTCAAGTTTCTAAATAAATGTAATCAATATAACAATACGTACAATTTTTTAAATAATGATGAGTGCTATATCAGTAGGCATATCGCATCACGAGCCGTAATCGATAGTTTCCACGGAATGTCACTGGCGATTGCTACTTATTCCAAGCGTCGGCGTCATATTGTTAGCGGTTAACGCCAAATAATTCTCGTGTGAATTTTGGCAGCTCTTATTTTGCCCACACAGAATATGAAGAAAGTCAAACCACTATTGCATGATCATTTAATAACAAATCGAGTGAAGCAGGTAATGTGCACATACATTACTGTCTGTCGCTAACTGTTTAACGTCAGACAGCCGGCAAGCAAACAAAAAAAAAAAAAAAAAAAATCGCAAAAGCAAGGTTAGATTCTGACAGACGTCTGCAATTATTAAATGTAGATTTTTCTCTTGCGTTGCTCGCATTTCTAGTATTTGGAAGACCACATTGACGAGACATATTTGGATGTGAAGCAGATGACCAAAGAGTTGATGCGCAAATATCCCGAGTATTCGCGTCGCAAATTTGGACCATTCAGACAACTGGTGCATCAAGGTAAATATTAAAGTAAATATTACAAACGTCTCTGCGCATGACGGACAGACGAGGGCAATGTAACAAATGTTAATTGGCCAGTATTATTATATTCTGTTTTTGGGGTAGGCTCCAAAGTAGGGTGAGCTGTCTGGCCAGCGTGCTGCAGTGCACGTATTTCACCAGGGCGTCCGAAAAGACGGCTCCTAAACAGTTAGACTGCGGTTTCTGTAAATCGATGCATATTTGATTTGCTATTAAGCATACGATATACATATGTATATAATGTTTAAGTATTGTAATAATCTTTCTTATTTAGAATCGAGTTCATAATGTACAATGTCGGCGAGCGTGCTGAATTACCTGCTACTATACTACTATTATTAGTATACTACTATTTAGCCATTTGGTAAACCATTTACTCGGTTTTTCGCTTTTCAGCTTTTTCCATTGTTTCCGAAAGCTATAACTTAGATAAGGCCAGCAGTTCTGAGGAAGAGGAATACTATTTATCAGACGAACCAGAGACGCCCAACAACAGCGTCATGAACAATATAATGCAGGGTTTGTACACCCAGAATCAGTCACAAGTTCGCAGAGCTTCACAAACTCCAAAGCCAAGCAATGAGCCCATTGACATTTCCAGCGGTGATGAGAACGACGATGAATCCAGAAGTCCATCAAATGGTGCTGGCAGCTTGGCTGGTGGTGCCACGGTTATAGCGCCAGTTAAAGCGCTCAAACGACCCATGGATCAGAGCCAGACTGCGGCAGCAGTGCTGGCCAAGAAGGGTAAGAATCAACAATAGTGCGAGCACTCTAACTTATGCCTTAATAGGTAAAACATCTCTATTTGACTTGCTTGCAGGGGTGCGACAGGATAACCTAACTGGCGGCAATAGCGGAGCTAATCAAATGCCGTCGAAGAAATGTGAGCAGGTTTTAGAGATAATTAATGGTTTGTTCTATATTAAATGACTATTGTCTGGTGTTTCAGATGTGGCCAATCTTGGCAAAGGCAATTGCGACGCTGGATCCAGCAAGGAGCCATCTCATCATGGACCCTCGCATGGCTATCAACAGCACCAACAGTTTTCACAGCAGCAACAGCAGCAACAACAACATCATCATCAGCAGCAGATGCGTATTCGCAAATACAAAAAGGAATTGGATGTGACACGCATCACAGAGAGTTTCCGTGATATTGGTGGCATGGATGGTACACTGAAAGAGCTATGCGAAATGCTTATACATATCAAATCACCGGAATTCTATTTCCAATTGGGTTTGCTGCCATCGCGTGGCCTCCTGCTGCACGGACCGCCGGGCTGTGGCAAAACCTATTTAGCGCGTGCCATTGCGGGTGTACGTATATATCATTTAATCATGAATTTATACATTATAATATATATATTTCTATATCAATCTAGCAATTAAAAATGCCGTTGCTTGAGGTGCCGGCCACGGAGTTGATTGGAGGCATTTCTGGTGAATCGGAGGAGCGTATACGTGATGTCTTCGAGCAGGCAATTGATAATTCGCCATGTGTGCTCTTCATTGATGAAATCGATGCCATTGCGGGCAATCGTCAGTGGGCATCCAAGGATATGGAGCGACGAATTGTCTCACAGCTCATCACCAGCTTGGATCAGCTAAAGAGTACTGAATTCGGACAATCAGTTGTTGTCATTGCTGCCACAACACGGCCGGACACATTGGATCCGGGTCTGCGTCGCATTGGACGCTTCGACCATGAAATCGCCATACACATACCATCGCGCAAAGAACGACGTGAAATCTTGCGCATACAGTGCGAGGGTTTGTCCGTTGACCCGAAGCTGAACTATGATAAAATTGCTGAACTAACGCCCGGCTATGTGGGCGCTGATCTGTTGGCTTTGGTCTCGCGTGCCGCCACAATCGCTGTGAAACGACGATCGATGAAGAAGTTTCGTGAGCTGCATGCAGCTAATGAAATGAATATGACAACGGTGACGCTAGACGACGATGAGACCGTTGAGCCGGTGCAGGAGAAGCCAGCAGGTGCTGAGAAGCCAGCAGATGCTGAGAAGCCAGCAGAGGCTGAGAAGCCAGCTGATGCGGAGAAGACGGGCGGGGAAGCAGAAAAGCCAAAGTCGGATAAAGAAAATGCAGAAGCCATAAATGGCGAGAAGGCCAATGAAGATGATTCCATGGATGTGGACGAGAAGGAAACTGATGCGTCAGCTGAAAAAGCCGAATCTGAAACCAAGCAGCAAGTCGAAACGCCAGACAAGTCGCCAGCTGAGCTCGAAGAGTTCTACGAACCAACGTTGGCTGAGTTGACAAATTTCTTGGACAATCCGCCAGAGGAATTTGCCGATCCGAACTTCTGTCTGACCTTAGATGATTTCATGGCCGCTGTTAAGCTCATACAACCTTCCGCCAAACGCGAAGGTTTCATCACTGTGCCGGACACCACATGGGAGGATATTGGCTCGCTGCATGACATACGCGAGGAACTGAAGCTAGCTGTGCTGGCGCCCGTAAAGTATCCCGATATGTTAGTACGCCTCGGCCTGGAGGCGCCCTCCGGCGTGCTGCTCTGCGGACCACCAGGCTGTGGCAAGACGCTGTTAGCCAAGGCCATAGCCAATGAGGCGGGCATTAACTTTATATCCGTTAAGGGCCCTGAACTCATGAACATGGTAAGTGAGCTGACTTTAAACAAATCGCAATTTGCCTGGTTAAACTCAAATCTTAATTTGATTTTAGTATGTGGGCGAGAGCGAGCGTGCAGTGCGCGCTTGTTTCCAACGTGCTCGCAACTCGTCGCCCTGTGTGATCTTCTTTGATGAGTTCGATTCGCTGTGCCCCAAGCGGTCGGACGGAGGCGATGGCAATAATTCCGGCACCCGCATTGTCAATCAACTGCTCACGGAAATGGATGGAGTGGAGGAGCGCAAAGGTGTCTATATACTGGCTGCTACCAATCGACCGGATATCATAGATCCGGCTATTTTGCGTCCGGGTCGTTTAGACACCATACTCTATGTGGGCTTGCCGCAAGAGCAGGAGCGTGTAGATATATTGAAAGCTACCACGAAGGTGAGCAGAGATTGGAATTAGATTCTTGACTATAATTACTAATAGAAGACCCTTTTGTACACATATAGAATGGCAAGCGTCCAGTGCTGGCGGATGATGTGAATCTGGAGGCGTTGGCTGCCAAAACAGATGGCTATACGGGCGCCGATTTGGCCGGACTGGTCAAACAGGCGTCCATGTTCGCGCTGCGCCAATCGCTGAACAGCGGCAACACCACAGTGGACGATCTGTGCGTGCGCCAACAGCATTTCGAGGAGGCACTCAAGCAGCTGCGTCCCTCGGTTAGCGAGCAGGTAAGCATAGCATAACTTTAACCAGCTGGGATATACTCATTGAATAAAATATTTCCTATTGCCTCTCAACAGGATCGCAAGGTGTATGAGAAGCTGCGTCAGAAGTATGCTGCACCGCGTATGCCTTCTTTTGAGACCAAATGAATATCTCTATTAGTGACTCACACACACACACTGTTGTACTAGTATTTAAGCAACACACACACACAGGCAGCAATCGCGGAGATTGCATGCATATTCCTCATTTGATTTACAATGTACAAAAACCAAGTTATACATACATATATGCATACACCCATACATCAACCTACACACAAACACACATACAGAATAAAAATGCCCAAGCGAACTCAACTTTGGGACCAAGCCCAGGCCGTTTGTATATAAACTCGTTATAAACATATACAACACACGCACGCACACACACACAGACGACTGTAAGGATAAGGAGAATCCTCTAGGATGGTCCGTCGCCCTGGCCGCGACGTATTCGTATCGGCGCCGTTAGCGATCGCGGCGGCATCTGGGCGGCGTCCATGTGACGCTGCTGCAGTTCGAGTATTTCGGCGTGCTGTGTTAATAGTGAGCGTTTGGAGCGTTTTCTGCTCTTCTTCTTGAGTGATTTCTTCTTGGTGTCACTGGCGTGGCTGGCATTCGTATCGCCGGTGCCGGAAGTGCTGTGAGCAGCCGGCGGCCTGGGCGCCACCGGCTCTTCGTCTCGCTTGATGCTCTGCCTCAAATCGAAGGCGCTCTTGCACATCTCACGTATGCCGAACCAGCTCTCGTGGCCAATCTGGCTGATCATCTCAACGGGCGGCTGGAAGCCCAGCTCGCGTGAGGGCAGCTCCATGACCAGCGCCAGTGGAGCCTTCAACACACCGTACACATAGTCCACAACGGAGCCGGCAATGGTGCGTTTGGTCAGGCAGCTAATGCTGCCCGTGCGATATTCCCGGCCATTGTACGTCTTGATGGCCGTCCGTCCAGTGGTGGCCAGCGTGTGGAGCTCACGCCAGTGATATGGAGCCTCGCGGCAATAGCCCCATGGATACATGATGCTCTGGCCATACGAGTGCAGCGACAGGAAGAACAACAGATTGGGCGCCAGGGTATCGAGGATGTTGCGCATGGCTCGTGTCTCCGGCTCGGAGAACGGACGTTCGCCTTTGTATGTATTACGGTTGGTTCTCACGGGTCCGCACTCCCAGAATATGTCGTAATTGCGATTGCAGTCGGCGCCCACAATTTTGGTCGATTTCTGTGGACGGCGATTCTTTCGCCAATTTCGATTCTGTGGGGGGAGTAAGGATGGATGAGGATGGAGAAGCTGATTGATAATGCTGGAGGGGCTAAGACTCCTACCTTCGTCCGCGAATACTCGTAGCCATCGGGATTCACGAGCGGCACAATGATGAAGCGCAGATTTCGCAGCACTTCGATGTTGCGCGTGTATCGCTCCGTCAGCTGGTAGATGCAATTGAGGCAGGTGCTAACCGTAATCCATTCCCGGGCATGGGTGCCGGCCTCAATGAAAATGATGTTCCGATTCTTGTCGCCGGGCAATACGAGGGGCCCTTTCGCTCCCGTACTTCTGTGGACGTCCGCCATCTTGGCCGCCTGCAGACGCATCACGGACGACAGCTCCACATTATCCGGATTATTCCAATTGATCTCTAGGGCGCGCACCTCTCGCCGCTCGTGCGTCAGGCCCAGCGTGTAGAGCTTCACGAAATTGGAGTACTTGTGCACAATGTATTCCAAATACTGATTGATCTGATTGTACTCCAGATAGGTGTGCAGCACATCCGGCCGGGGTATGATCACACGGCGTGCATTGTGAGGGGGCACCGGCACCTGGGTTACCCTCGGACCGGCGCGTGCCTTCTTCTTGGCGCGTTTCGTAGTGTTTTGCATTTCCAATTTATGTTGGGTGTGGATGGGTGGGATTTGGATGTGATTAAAATTAGTTATGAATGTGTCAAGTACATAAATGTTGAGTGTTGCAAGAGTGGTCGAGAAACTAAACTATATAAGCACTAAAAATTTGTAAATAAACGAGTATAGACACAGAAATACAAAAAGAACTGTGATTCGAATACGGAATTTGTCGATGTTGAAACACTTTTCCGCCTGGCTGGCCAAGGCCTGCTGGAAGGCGGACGAGCAAACGAACGAGCAAACAAACAGAAAGAAAAGGCTAAATTTCTATAGAAATCGGAAATCGTACCTCCTGCAGCAGCTGCTCGACAAGGACGAGACGTGCGAGTCCTTTGGGCCCAACAGCCATTGTGTGACCCTAACGGACTGCCAGCCAGAGTTTTTATCAAACGATGCACTGGGAATAGTGCCACATCCACAGCCACATCCACATCCACATCCACATCCATATCGTGGGCGTTTGCTAAATTGGAGCAGCGACAACGTTTAATAAGTTGGGCACGGCAGAGTTTGTTGTTGTAATGCGGAATTGGATTTGTATATCCTGCTTGTATATCCTGCCTGCATTTGGCAGTCGCTGCCACAGAAACGCAAATATGCTAAATGTCAGACAACATAGCGACAGAGACAGAGCAAGAGCGAGAGTGAGAGCGAGAGTGAGAGAGAGATAGATGGTAAGTGGGTGGCCAAAAGCGCAGGCACGAGCTATGCAAATAAACAAGGCCTACAGCTCCACAACTGGCGTGTCGTTCCGGAAACGGAGCAACGTAGCAGCAGCATATGCCCCATGGATCGAGCCTAGCGAATGCGAATTAAAGCATTTCTGCCTACAAAAATCATTTTCCAGATTGCCTCTAAATAACACTGGACTACATGAGAAATTACCTGAAAAATTCAAAATGCAGAATAACTGTAGAGTTGCGAATATCCGAATATCCGGTTATATGCAGACTGTTGTAGCTAACTTTCGAAATTTCCTATATATAACTTGATCTATGAAGCTATATAGTTATATATGCAGAATTTTCTTGAATCTTCTTGATCAGGACAAGTATAGATCTAGTCATGTACCTTTCTCCATCATCCCATCCGTATGAACTTGGTAATCTCGTTGACCTCAACAGCTAGAGGCTGGAAATTTTGAATATACACAAGTTCCTTTTAGCAAGTATTTCTACTTTTCTTTACTTTTATGTCTTTTCACTATTCACTTCAAGTTCACTACTAGAAGAAGGCATCTGCATTGTGTATACATATACTTTCTTTACGGCTTTCTCGTCTTAACCGTATATTCTAATATTAGGTTGGACAGTGTAGCTGGTTGGCCGACAAACGTCAACGCAAATGTCAAAAACTACGCGGAGTCGGAACATGTGTATATACTCCATTCAATATACATACACACACATATATATTCATTGAATGCATTTAGAGGAAACATCGTTTGCGACGCAACCAGTTGATTTATACAGAAAACAAGGTTCGTGTTGATTTTCATTTAACGGTCTTTTAGTCAACTTCCTGACACAGTGACTGCCATATATTTACGTCTGGCAGCTGCATAAGAAAAGCGTCGCTAAGCGATACCCTGTAACCTGTATTTAGAATCATGGGAAAATGGAAAGATTTTATTTTTGATTGAGAGTAAATTAAAGTGGGCTTTATATGTAGATCCCATATATTAATATATTTGATATATTTTTTTAGGTTATCTATTAGTCCATCACTCACCTTAATAAACTAAAATTATTCCCTTGTTTTCCGAATGTTTTTTTTTTTTCATTTTCAATTTTTGTTGTTGGTTCTACTTGCCGGAGACACGCAAGGAACCAGACAGGTCGCTCGCTCCTGTTAGGGGGCGTTTCTGAAGTATGCACATTATGTCATTAGCATGTTGGCGAAAATAAAAGGGCTACAAGTTTTGCGTTTCGGAATGGCAAATACGAAAAGAGTCTGCCTGAGCTCCAGTATAACCAAATGTCCTTTGGAATCCCTTTGAGCCATGTCTGTGTGGGTTCTATTAGGGCATTTGATGACGAAATAAAATTGGCTACAAATTAACGAAATTCCAGCAATTATGTGAAAATAACTTCAACGAAACGAACATTGTCAGCCTGCAGCAACAACAAACAATAACAATAACAACAACATCAAGGATTTGTCGGAAAATAGTTCACTTTGCCTGCATATTTATGTCCTTGGTGTTTGGCAAGGCAATTTAACTTTGCTCAAATTGGACAGGTAGTCAAGGTGTTCCGATGCCTTCGTTAACCTACTGCCATAGTCTGGGTTAACAGCTACAGACATGGCATGGGCGTGATTCTCTTAATTATGTTCGTTGCCTAATCTATGTTAAGAGTTACAGTCAAGGCAAAAATAATAGTTACACCCACCGAACACGCCATTTCGATGAGGCATCAGCGGATTGCCATTACCAAAGCATAGTTTGTATTCTGTTTCATTAAACCCGTTGACGCCGTACAGTCACGGCATAAATAAACGAGTATGCTGTGCTATTTGTTAATGCTTATAGCCATGTCAAAATGAAAGCCTAGCAATCTCTCTCAGTTAACCTATCTTAATTATTGTGGCGCACATTTACAGTCGTGGCAAAAATAAATGAGTCGTCTCTGTTATAGAACATTTATAGTCGTGGCTGAAAGAAAGGTTACTATACTGTCTTACGGTCACGGTAAAAATAGTTGTTACACCCCATCACTAACCAAATACAGTAAGGCTTATATACATCTGTTAAGCGTGTGCAAATTTTTATATAATTCGATCAATAGGTTAAAAATATCATATATATGATAATATGACTAAAGAATTTCCGATGGAAAAATTCGATTATTAGAATGGTTTTAGAAGAACATTTTTCAGCATAATATACTTATACTTCTCGCGTATGTTTCCCGATTATACTTGCCGTTTTTGTCGCTCATATATAAATATGGGATCGTCAACACTGCCTAATATGCTGATAGCCCCAGTATATTTAGTGGGCGGGTAGTAGTTAATGAATTTGCGAGTGCTTGGTCTGGTCTTTGCTTTAGTGGTGGTGGTGGTGGTGGTAGTGGTGGTGGTTGTTGTTGTTGGCCGACCTGTCGTACTTAAAACAAGCTTCTCTACGTCTTCCAAGCGATCGATCAGATCATTCAGCTCATCCAACTTTGAGCATCTCAAGGCACATTCTTTAAACTTTGCTTCGTTGTCTATCAGCTTTTGCAGCGCCGCTTGAAGCTGATTTTCCAGACCTGAAATTATCTCTTGCAGCTTAACTATCCTCTCTAAATCCACTCGCATTTCTTCATGTAGCTTTTCCAACTTAATAATGCGCTCAATTAGGTCTTGATCGGGCTTACTTGAATTGTTGCTCAATAGGAGCTGCAGTTCATTCAATCGTTTCTCCATCTGCTCCTTGAATTCGGTCGCATTCCTCAGGTGATCCGCATTTATCTTTTGAAATTCTCTCCATTTTTCCTGGAGAGTTTTTTCAACCTGGATGAGCTTTGCTTCATTATTATTGAGATTTATTTGGGTTATGCTCAGAATGTTTTTCAGCGAGTTAAGCTGATTCTGTAGATCTTTAATGCGATCGGCCAAGGTCTGGGTTCCAGCGGTTCCATTGCCGTTAGGGCATGTTTGTGTTGCTATGGACATATTCTGCAATTGTGCCAAAGTATTATCGAGCTTTTCTTGCACTTGACTTAAGCTCGTTTCTAGCTGTGTCACATGATTTGTGTACTTATTATTTAATTCCTCAATTTGTTTCATCATGTTATCCAGTTTCTGGGACAATTCGTCGATTTTCTTGCAGCACTGCTTGGCCTTTTCAATTTCTGTCTGCAATTCCACCAGAGAGGGACAACTGTTGTTTCCTGGAGCTACTGCCGTTTGATTCCCCAGTTGATTGAGTATATTAAGGATTTGGTTTAGTTCAGACTCGATTTTCGAACAATTTGCTATAGTGATTGATATATTGGAGAATTGATTGAACTTATCGATCAGATTAGCAATCATTTTCTCCAGTTCCTTGATTCTGTTCAGTAATGCTTCAATGTCAGTTGACCCACTTCCACTTCCACTTCCAGTTCCAGTTCCATTTCCAGTTCCATGTCCAGTTCCATTTCCAGTTCCATTTCCAGTTCCACCTCCAATTCCACTCCCGCTTCCACCTGTTCCATTTCCACAGTTATCAATGCAAACTTGCGTAGTTTGAGAAATAATTGTCATTTGTTTCTCGGTTTCTTTTTGTAGAATATTCAACTTATTCGCATGCTCCTGTTGCTTCTGATTTAGATCGTTGATGTCCTTCTCCAGCTGTTTGGCTTTCTGGCTAGCCTCAGCTTTGGCTTGCTCTAGCTGCTTCTTCAATTCATTCACTTTGTCGTTCAACTCCTTACAACATTTAGCCGCCTCCTCTTTGTTGACGCTCTGCTGCTTCTCCAGCTGTTCGATGCGATTCGTGACATTCTTCAATTGATTCTCTAGATCGGTTTGCTTTTGCTTTAGCTCATTTGCTTGGCTGTTGACATCTTCGTGCTGTTGCTCCGTTTTCTTGCGTAGCTCCTCCAGTTTGTTCAACAAATCAGCTTCGACTGCTTTCAGATTTTCTGCCAATTGCTCGCAACAAGTTTTCATTTTCTTCGATGATATTGCTTTCATTTGATCCAAAATGATGTCCAGATCTTTGCCCAGATCGCCAGTTGCTTCAAGTGGGCTGACATTGGGCGTATCGCTGGTGGCCGACAGATTCGCTAGGTCTGCGAATATAATATTCATCGTTTGATTCTCGTAGAAACAGCAATGCTCCTCTCCGGCCTGATTAGGATTCGTGCTATTTATGACCTCCAGCATCTTGCCCAAGTTTAGGTTGAAACTGGTTAGCTTTGCATTCGTCAGAATCTGCTCATTGATCCAGCTCTTAATCACCATGTGGGCGTCACATTCCGCATTTGTGCCACGTGCCCCATAAAAACCAACGTCTTCATAGTCGTAATATCTCAAAGCGACCAACTGCCGTGGCGCTGATAAGAGCAGCAAGAAGAGCTGCAGCGACGTCACCCATAACTGCATATGCAAATCGAATATTATATACTATTCTATTTCAGTCTAGGTATTCCTGTGCACTCACCATTGTTTGGCTTGTTTCTTGCGCTTCTCGATGCGGCAGCTTCAAGGGACTCGGTCAAACTGACTCGAATGTTGGAGAGCATTCGATGGAGTCGATGAACACTCTGGAATAAATTCGATTTGCATGCCTTCGGCTCTAATTGCCGAGATGTGCTACTGGAGTATGTAGAAAATGTAAAAGGGAACTATGCCCTAAATATTTGGAGAATGAAAGAGATATAAGAAGCGGTAGAAAGAGATAGAGGCGAATCGATATAGAGGGAGACAAACGAGAGAGAGATACAGAGAAAGGGAGAAAGAGAGGGAGAGAGAGAGCCGAAGGGAGAGAGGGTGACAAAGTTTGAGAAACATTTAGAAAGAGAAATAGAGAGAAGCCTGAGAGACATCGAAAAGGGCAAGGTAAGAAGAACGAGTTTCTGACCAATTTCTTGCTCACTTTCATTTTTAAGAGAGAAACATAAACAGAAAGAAAGAGAAAGACATAGAGAATGACACACTGTCATACAAGAGTATTTTACAATTAAATCCAGTAATATAGTCAATAGTCTATAGACTATAGAAGTCTCTCTAATGACTAATTATTATATATCGGAGATATCTTCTGCCTATCATAAATAAAACAAACTTGTTTCTCTATAAAGACATTGTATTGAAATATTCTGCGAGTACATAAATATTATTTTCATGGTTAAGGTCGTGGCTTTTGTTTGGTTATCGGGGCGTTGCAAAAGACATCAACAAGACGAAATTGGCAGACAAAAAGTATTAGACTGCAAGATATGCTGTCTTTGCATAAGCAAATGTTATTTCACTTCTCTCAATTTCGCTTATGCTTTTCGCTTTCTAATTCTGAAAAATTTGTGATCGTCTCATACATATATTATGTTTATAAATTTAAATTAAAAACTTGCATATAAGTGCATTTTGCTTTTTAATATTAATACCCCAACTCTCTTCGATTTGCATAGGGTATAGATGAAAACTCGTTTCTAGCATGCCTTGACTGATATGCGATTTGAATCTATATGGGTTGGTTAGATAATGGGATTATCAAATAATAATTGTGTTTCTAGGGGCTTTTATTTCGTGCCGTGAAAGTTGAATGCCCTGAGCTTCAGACTTAGAATCCATTAAAGTTGTTGAAAATGATTTAGAACCTCAAAACGTGTCTACAAATTAAGCCAGATAGACGGGCGATCGCAGCCACTAAAGCGTCTTAGATGCTCGAAAAAAATCTAAAATGCAAATTTAAGTTTTAGCATCGCACCGGAAATGTGAGTTTTAAAGTTTTTGAACCATTCATATTTGTTAAGAGATTGCAGAACGAGTGACTCGATGTCTGCCACTCAGCGCTGCGATCGAAGATCAAATGAAATTATAACCGATCAAGCGGAAGTGCCAGAAGCGACAGAAGCGAGTGTCATAATTACGCACAAAAGCAATTCGAAAATATATTTCAATACATTAGAGACATCTGCATAAATGGAATCCAATGCGTAGAGCTTCTCATCATCCAAATGAATATCTTCTTCAATTTTGTTCAAGTGGCATTCGTTAACTTTGTGAATGGCTTCTGTTAGCCCTGATGCTGGGCAAATGCCCGACACACTTTAGGTTTTAATGAACTCGAACCACGCTCGTTTCTTGTTGTTGTTGTTGTTGTTTTTTTTTTTATTATTCATAGCTCATCGGCAGCTAACTGTAATGAAGCGCAAGTATCTGTTATTTTYGAGTGGCCACAAGTCGGTATTAATAATATTTAGCTTCCGGCTAGATTACCAAATTGACCTTGCTCACTGCTCGCATTTAGTTCAGCGAACAGAATTGTCTGCGCATCTTAAAAAAACCTTTCAATTCGCTTAGAACAGGAATCGGCCATATGCCGTTCATGGTATGGCCAACGGCTCTCTGTCTTCATGTCAGACCGTGACATTAGGAAGACAAAGCGCAAAGTTTGCCCAGAGCACAATACACACAAGAAATCTATATATATACATATCTATATCTATTTGTATATAAGCATGGTTCAAGTTCCTCTATAAAAACCAGTAAATAAACAAGTAACGGCTTCAGAATCGTTTCAAGACCCGCACCACACGGATGCAAAGATCAAAAACCGAACTAGACCAAAAAAAAAAAAAAAAATCAATTGTGCGCAGATAACAACAAAAAGTGATCAAAATTGTCCAAACTTGTTTCAACAGCAATTTTAAAGAAAATAAAAAATACATTAGGCTTCATTTAAAAATATAATAAAAAAACAGAAACAAAACCCAAATCACATTAATTCGAACTTCTTAGCAACTGTGGCATAAATTATGCAAAACTCAATTAAAATTGGCCAAAGAACCAAGCAGATTCTAATTGGCATCCAATAAGAAACGGCGACGCGTGCCGCGCAACCTATTGRAAAAGTAATAAATAAATAATCCGAAAATCACAAAAAAAAAACCCTTTCCGTATTTTGTCTCGTGACGCGTTTACAAACATCTTTGGAGTCTTCGGCGCTGCTGCTGCTGTTTGGACCAACAAAGTGAACTGAACTGGACAACTGACCTTGACACTCACTTTTCTAAAAAAAAAAAAAAAAAAAAAAACACAACAACAGCAACAAAAATCAGACATATAAACGATACGAAAACATTTTTTTCGGGTTTTGTGTGTGGCTTTAGCAACGTCTTCTTTCTGAGCCACGCCGCTGAGCGCTCAACAGTCTTTGGAGATGAAGCATACGAAACGGATCGCGTTCGGCTTCAATTTAAAATTCAACTTGAATTCAGTTTAGTTTCTCAGTGTGCGACTATTACATAAGTTTCTCAAGTGCAACTAGCTAAAGAAGATATAATATTTATTCAATTATTACATATACAGTGTTTAAGCAAATAGGCAAAGGCATTCATGCCTCAATCAGCGCACAGCTGCATATTTTAATACATAATTGCGCATAAGCAAATAGAAAGAAAATTCACAATAAAACAAAAGCAAACAACCAAACAGCTGCTGTGGCCAATTGCTTAAGTGCACAATGTTTTATAAAATCGTGTGCAGCCTGTGGCTCTGCCTCGCCGTCTTGACGTGCTCCATCGACAGCAGCAGCAGCAGCAGTAGCAGCAGCTTCAACAATCTGGCCGGCTATGAAGGGTAATTAACACAATAGTTACAAATAAACAGTATACATATATCTACATATATCACATATATATAATATATATTTTTATATAATTTTTTTTTTTCTTTCGCAAATTTCTCATGCTCATTAATCAAGCAGCTCACTTAATTTATTTATTCTTTTTTTATTTTTTTTTTATTTTAATAATTTTAATTTTGAGTGCCGGCTAGTCGTTAAACTGGTTTAGACTTTTACTTCATAAAAGAGCTATTTTTTTTTATGAAATGCAAAATATTGAATCGAGCTATGGGTATTTTGTTTGTATGGAATCAGCGGGGCTGCAAAGGGTTTAATAGTTTCTGAGATTTTAGCTGAGATTTTATGCTTTAGGCGTGATTTCAGCTAGAATTAATATAACTTAGATTTGACATCTAGACTTTGTATAACTATATATAAAAATCATATATTTTTATAGTATAGTTCAATCTGAAAACTTTACAATAAAATAAAATGAACTTGTTATGATGTTTTTGTTGTTAATTGTTGTTACAATTCGTCGCTTGTTAATTTTTTTTTTTTTTTTTTTTTTTTTAATTTTTAAAAATGTTAGGACTTTCTCAAAGATTAGATTATTAAAAAATAATACAAAAATTAAAAGCCGGTCTGCAAAAATATAATAAAACAATCTATGGCGTTTTCTTAATCATTAAAATTCAAATTTAGGCAACGTTGGCTCAAGACAGAGCTGCAAATAATGGTTAAGTTAATAACAAACTAAGTTAAAAGGCATATCTAAAGCTTGTAACTATTTTTTTACATATTAGCCTAGATAACCGAAAAGTTATTCAAATGTCAACTGTTTGGCTATAGAAAAAGTTTAAATAAAAAAATAAATA